TCAGACGTGTGCTCTTCCGATCTCTTAAGTTATCATATGGATAAAACCATGAAGATGACTAATTGGGCGACATCTGCCGACTTTTAGTCATCTTTTCGTCGACTATATTCGTTTTCTAAAAGATATCTTTATAACTATTTAGTCACCATTTAGTCATCTTTTAGACGACTTTGTGCTCTCTGGGATATATAAGAACCAATGGTGTTCAATATTTTTTCTTATTCAAATACTAATGGAAATGACCATAGAACACTAATAATCTGCATTAATAGATACGTTTTCAATGAGGTTGTATATGAAATATCGCATATAAAAATTTATTTTTTTTATTCTATTATTATTTATTATTATTTTTAGAAATTAATTTGTGTTTACTATTTCGCATATATATTTTTTATTTTATTAATTACAATTTATACGCAGGTTTATAATTTTTGAAAGCATTGAGATTCGAACCTGAGATCCCTAGAACTACAGACTTATACGCTAACGCTGAACTAATGATACTTTGTAGAAAGGACTTATTCTTTTTATTATTCTCTTTCCACTTTTCCTATCGTGTTCTCCGTATAGATTTTCATAGAATCTTCAAATGAGAAATTAATAATAAAGACGAGTAGAGCATTTTCAATTATTTACTGATAAACTACTGTACTCAGGAATTTACCCTGTCTCATTAGTATAGGATTTGAATATAGTATTCCGTATTCATAACTGTAGATATTTTGAAATCGTCATTCCCATATAGAAACATATTAATTGATAATAAGTAAATCACCAAACAAACATATTGACAGTGTTACGTTAGTTACATGTAGAATTTGTATATCATTGTTTACGTGTAAGGACACATTGACTAAGGAAACGTTTAGTGGTATCGAAAAGTTTTACCCATATCCTTTTTTTAATATTGATTGTCACATAAAAACACATTCGTATTGAATAGATCATTCCGTATAAAAACGTATCGATGATGTAATGTACAGAAACATGTACACGACTGCATATAATGAATAACTCGTAGAATATTATATTGATTGAGGAAAAGCACCATAGATTCCAATAAAATCGAATTACCGTGTCTCATTAGTATAGGATTTGAATATAGTATTCCGTACTTATTTTGTACATATTTTGAAATCGTCATTTCCATATAGAAACATATTAATTTATAATAAGTAAATCACCAAAAAAACATATTGACAATATAATATATAGAAACATATACACATTGTATAGTAAATTACTAATAAGGACATATTGACTGTGGTAAAGCCCTATTGATACCGATAAAGTTTGTATAGTAAAGAAACTATTTAAATGAACTATTCAACCTCGTTCAGATATATAAATATTATATACGTCGATTGTTACCTACCACCTAGGACTCTCACAAAACTATAGGTTATTATACGAAATGTTCACATATTTTATAGTTCCCAATAATTTACTATGACAAATTTCCAACAGGTCTTCTAGCGCCTTTTGTATCAAAATTGTAAAAGAACATTTCCCTCACCCCGCAACTGGGCGACGACGACGACGATGACGTTTCTTAATCTTAAATTCCCACTTTGCATTGCAATATCTCCGCTCGTAGGGCACGTAGAAAAAAAATAAAAACACTTTCATTACACAAACCGAACCCAAACTGTTGATTAAGCTTACTTGGAACTTAATCGTTATTGAGATCTCATAATCTCGGGTGTTCGCAACGCAACAGCTCGCGTAGAGACTCGACGTGGCTTGGGATATACTTTTATAGACACATATTTTTTATTTATATTTTATTTATATTTATATTAATTTAACACTTGACACCAAGCCATTACTGTGTTTCCTGATTGTAGCTCTGAGACCTCTAAGAATATAAGAATGAGATTGATAAGGATGAGGAGTCAAGCAGCAATGAATCGACTGTAAGACGCAAACGGGCCAAGAAAAAGAAATACTCGCAAAACAGTTCAAAGTGGGAAACTGAAGCCAAATATAAAAAGTGGTTGGCTCCTAATAAGAACAACATACATAAAGTTATATGTCGAATATACAATAAAAGCATTAATATATCCGCTGGAAAGAATCAACTTAAATGATATCAAACTAGAATTAGTCATATTAAGGCTGCCCTTGTTCGTAAATATCAATCATCGATGACTTCATTAGCTAATGTTCAGAGTTTTAATAGTATGGAGCTATTAACCAAAAAGGCTGATTTATATTTGGCTGCTTTTGTAGCTGAACATAACGTGCCATTTAGAATTATGGAACACATGCCCCAACTGATTAAGAAAATATGTGTTGATTCTGAAATAGCAAAAAAAATAGCATGTAGTAGAACCAAAATAACTGCTATTGTGCAAAATGTTATCGGACAGTACAATAGTAGTCCTCCAGGAATTTTCAATTTTTATTTTAAATGAAAGTTTAGATGCTGAAAACAACTATTACAATTACAATATGGATTAATAATGGTTAATCTGTTATTTTTACTGTATTAAAAATTACAAGCATATTAAACGCAGTTATTTTCGCGTTCCATGATGGCGTCAATGATGTGACGTCATAATTCGGTACAGATTTGACAGCTAGCATACAAATATTTTACAATGAATAAAAACATTGGAAATATGCAAAAGACAGTAAAAAAACGTTATTATAAGTGGTGCTTTGTTCCCTTGTGTAAAAGTACGACTATTTCTACGCCTTCAAAGGTGTTTGTATCAGTGCCAAAAGGAAACATCAGAAAAAAATGGTTTGAGATCGTGAGACGCGATGACGCTTTGTCTATAACGTTGAAAACCAGCATGTTTTGCTGTAAAGATGATTTCAATGTAAGTTTATTATTTTTACAAACAATAAAAACCTAACAAGATTCGTATTATTTTTACACTTAATTTAATATTATCTTTACACTAACAAAACATAACCACAATTTTGTTCTATAGTTGCAAGAAGATATAGAGAACTATATGAGAGTATGGCTTGATCCTGATGCATCTGTGCGATTAAGAAAAGGAGGAGGAGGAGTTGCCTACAATATTCGATTGTCAACCTGACAGACAACGTTCTCATTCAAAATATGGACGTCCAGGAATCCTAAAGCGTCAGAAAGTAGAAAGTTTGAACAAAATTCTGCAAACTAAATTGGTAGATAAGACATGTGATGAATACATAGATAAATCTGTTACCGAAGAGCCGTTATGTACGCCGAACGTCAATATTAGTAAGTGTAGCGGTATTGACATGATTCTTGTACTTTTTATAGTTAAATTGCTTATAATATTAATAATGAACTTGTAGATGATCCTTCAATTGAAGACAACATCGAAAGTGATTTGACTGCATCTCCAAAATACAAGGACGTCGGCATTCAAGCAAATTAAAAGATCGAAAAATAATGCGTAGCAAATACATACAAAATGTACCTGTTATGCGAGATGCTTGTTGTGCAACGGAGGAAAAATATAATGTTCAACAGAGAGAAAAAATTGTACAATCTTCATCGACCAGTACAAATATAACAATAAGTCTGATGATACACTTAATAACTGCGATGATGAATATCTACCGTCTGAAGAAACAAGCGAAGAAATAGAAACAACATATGTTTGAACAGAAGAAATTTGCGAAAAATTTTTAAATGACACTTATTGAAAATAAACCAAAAATGTATTTGGGTATTCCGGATAACTTTTTTTAAAATAAAATTATTAAGTCAAGAAACAGGAATTATAACAGATGAAATTTGCTTAATACTTTATAAAATTAAATTAAATGACACTTTTGCAAGACTTGGAGATGAATTTGGAGTTAGTGCTAGTAATGCGAGGGCTGTTTTTCGAAGAACTCTTTCTATTTTAGCACATTATTTAAAACAATTAATAGTTTGGCCTTGAAAACAGTCTTTAAAAATGAATCTACCGATACCATTCCGTGTTTGATACAGTCATGTACAATCAATAATCGATTGTTTAGAAATTGAGATTCAGAAACCTGGCTCTGCAGTGAATCAAAGTGTAACTTGGTCTGAGTACAAAAAATGTAATACGTTAAAGTACTTAATATTTATGTCAGCGGATGGATTGATCAATTTTATATCCGAAGGTTTTTGTGGAAGAACGTCCAATGCTATTATTGTTGAACAAAGTCAATATTTAAATAAACTACCGAAAAACTGTGCAGTCATGGCTGATCGAGGCTTTAAGAACATCGAACATCTTTTAAGAAGGAAAGGATGTATTCTCATTCGACCGCCGAGTGTATCAAGTAATTTAAAACCAACAAAGGATAACGTGCTAGAAACTCGTCGTATCGCTAGCTTAAGAATTCACGTAGAAAAAGTCATTAGAAGACTAAGAGAATTTAATATTTTGAAGCCTCATTCTACAATCCATCATGAATTATTAGACGTGATAGATGATAGATAATCATTGTAGCTGGAGGATTAATTAATATTCAATTACCACTTATAGCACAATAAATTTTGAAAATATTTTTATGTTTATTTATTTTCCATGCTACTTATACTTATACATATTATACTTATACCTATTATACTTATACCTTTCTATTCCACTAAGAAGTAAAGGAAAAATATTTTTTTTCCAAGTCATAGCATTTTGTATAATTTCCTTCACAAACGTTTCATCATACTGTATGCAAGTTACAATAATTTCCTACGATGTTTCAAAATTATGTTTTGCCATACAAAATAACCTTTTTAACTGTTTTCATGAACATTTGCAATTGAATTTGAGCAAAAAATTAGTCCTATGCGCTGGTCTTTTGTAATATATCTTTCCTCCGATGTCAAACTTACAGGGCATTTTACTTCCACGACAAAATCTTCTCCTACTGCATCAGGAGAAGCGCCGATTATAGGAAAATTAGGATTTAACAGTAATTCAGTGCGATACAATCGATTTTGCAGATTTTCTTCTAATTTTTTAATACTTCCAGTTCCAAGCACCTTCCTCTTTCCATCGCATCAGTGTCTCTTATTTTAAGAGCTCCAATTATTTGTTCAACTAAAGCACCTTGCGGTTTATTACAGTGTGCAACTTCATAAATCCGAGATGCTGTTATTCTTCCATATCTCAATTTTTTCCACATTGTGGATTGATTTTGATCTATCGTATTTTTCGCAACTTCTTCGTATGATTGTACAGTCATTTCGATGCTTGCAAAGTTTAAAAATCTGCGTCTTTACACGTAGTGATACTATAAAATCGCAACATTAATGTATGCACCGATAGATCTTTGCTGTTTGATTTGAATTGTACGAAGTGTCTTGAGAGTTGGCAGTCGAATTTTATGTTATCCATTTCTTGCAAAATGATTTGCAAAAATCCATTGTTGTTTGGAAGGACTTGAACAGGCTTTGATGGTAACCTTTTACTTTCATGCTCCTCACGTTAGCTCCAACTTGTGCCAGACGAGGTTTCTTCCAATAACACACAGTCGCAGTCGGTTCAGGCTCTTCACTTCGACGATGAACCATATCAGAAATGCGATAGCATGTTTATAATCCCCTGAAACCATAAAGTTATAATATATTTTTTTTTTTTTTAGTAACGTTAATTTCAATCTACCTGCTGAAGCTGCACAGTCATCGCATTTAACATATTCGACACTTTCATTTTCCTCGTTAACAAGCATTGATACCGAATACGGTTTGCTGTTAACTCTATGCTCAGGACACACTTTCCCTCGAATGTGACAAAAGCAGCCTTCTCGATTTAATTCGATAAATCCAATTGCTGAATCTCCGTAATTTTCATTTCCAGCTCTATAAAATGTTATATTAACAAGAGTATAGGTTATATATGTCAAAATTAGAATATAAGGTTAGAAATTCACATTGTTTGAAATAAACACATATATTATTATTTAATTAATATATGCTGTTTCATCATTATATAAAAAATAATATAAATAATACATATGTTGCTGTATTATACTTACTTTTTAGCTTTTACACCACGGGTTTCTGCAATGTTGAACACTTCACTTTGAGCAAAAAAATCGGAGACCATTAATACTGTTACTTTAGGTAAGTTATCCGATTGTGCTTGAACAAATCCGGTTTGAGTTTTTCGCGACATAATTACCGATACGCAAATATAAATAATAATTGAAATTATTTGAAGAAAATCAACTGGTTATCTCGTAAAATATTTGAAAGTACTAAATTCTGACATCACGCATAGTCTCAGCCAATCACAGAGCGTTTCCTTCCCACTTCTTTTGCAAGCATTTTTATTAATTTTTATTAATTTTTATTAACATTATTTATTGTTAAAATATTGCGTACGTATTATAATTTATTTTAATTCAATATGTAGCATATAAAAATAATTTTTAAAGCATATTTTATTTTTAAAAATTGGACCCTATTTCGAAAAAATATGTGGAATTTTGAACAACATTAAGTTTTCATTGATAATAGATGAATCGACAGATCGTACATGTACAAAACATTTATGTAAGTTTGTAAGATTTTTCCAAGACAAAAAGTAAGTGCAGAGTTGTCTTAGGTAATAAATTAATTACTTAACAAGATACTAAAAATTGTTTTTTTTTTTTCAGAGTGATAGACTGTTTTTTTGGGTTTAATACCCTTAAAAGATGCAACGGCCGAGAATTTATGTCAAGGTTACTGCATTCTTTAATTTAAATAAGATACCATATAAGGCTAATTTAATTGGTTTTGCTTCCAATGGAGCAAGTATAATGGTAGGCACCAAAAATTCTTTTTCAAGTAGATTGATCTCAGATATCCCATACAGAACAAAATATATAATAGATATCTACTGGATATTCACATATCTATACACTATCCATATCCATTATGGATAACTAGTAGATATCTAATAATTATCTAC